CACAAATAATTAATCTAGTGTTTTCCTTATCCATGGGTGTATTAATACACACACACACACAAATAATTAATCTAGTGTTTTCCTTATCCATGGGTGTATTAATAGACACACACACACACACAAATAATTAATCTAGTGTTTTCCTTATCCATGGGTGTATTAATAGACACACACACACACAAATAATTAATCTAGTGTTTTCCAAAAGTTCAGCTCAACAGAACCCATTAACTCAGATGAACATTTAGATCCAGTAAATGGGAATTTTGATAATGACCGTACTTATGAAATTGGAAATAAATGTCCATGTTTAGTTACATACGTAAACTTATAACACATCTAGGTTGCTCAAGTAACGTTGATAGAACAAACGATTATAAGCTTAATATTAAAGTTTGGTTTTATAAGTATGAATGTTGGTCAATTGTGTAAATTGTAATTTATATATTTTGATGTTTGTTGTTATGTTTTACTTATTTAAAATCTCACGAACCATTTCTTTATTGTCGTTGCTGTTTGATTTCAATGATATAACACCAGTATCTGTTTTATTTATTTATTTATTTCGTGTATTAAATTGAAATGTCCCAACATAATGTTTAAAGTATTTTGAAGTGAAGGAACTGATTTATTAGTCGAAATGGAGAAAAAAACGTTTGGAATTTATTTCTCAATTTGACATTTTTTCGTATTGATTCATAGATATATTTTACATAAAAACTATACAAATATAAATTACATCTAATTACCTTGCTAATGTGTTATAGTCAGGTAAGACATTTAGAAATATCTGACTTAGACTGATGAACGCACGATTGTGAAAACAAATATTGAAATTTTATTTACATTCGATTACAAATGTTAAGCTATTAGTTAAGCAGTTTTGTTTTTAAAGGCGTGACATTTAAATTTCGTTTTGTTTCTTTCTGCTAAGCATGAAGCTACACAATGTGCTATCTGTACTGTACCCACGGCGGATATCGAAACCTGACTTCTAGCGTTATAAATCCTCAGACTTGCCGCTGAACTACAGAGAGGCCATGTACAAAAAAAAACGAAAGTCATAAGAAAATTGTTTAATAACAACACTTTTCCATTTAAAATCAAGTTCATACAAAAAAAAAATCTGTCAAAGTAAATATGGGTACTTCCGGTTTAGGACTATTAAAATAGCTCAAAGATATGATGCAGAGGAGATAAAAATCTAATGATAGGCGTAATATTTAAAATAGAGCAAAACATAAGCCTTAAACTGCATTAAGACAAAAAACTGCTAAAATAATGGTTCATTTTAGCTGTGATAGATAAGTAGACGCACGAATACATTGTTCACAGTATACTTTTTTATCCACTCCTTAGGGTATCATATTTTTCATGTAATATTCAACGTTTTTTTTTAAGTGATTCACAACTAGAACTTTAAAAGTTTATTAAAAAACATCCTTTACGTATTAAGTTAAAATGCATTTCATTGGTGGGTCAGCGATAAGTGGAATTACATCGAAAAAATATGCGATTCATTTTCCCGCTATGTTCATAGTACAGATGGCCCAGTGGGTTGCTTTACACTAAGAAAACAACAGCGAATACATGGTAATTACACCTTAAATTTTGGTGATCGGTTTTTGTGAGAGAAATTTCTAAATGAATATATTTAATATGGATAAAATTTGTTGAAAACTTGACGTGATATCAAACGAGAATCATGATAAGGTGAACGTCTAAGTTGTTTCAAATATACAGAGGAAGTTGTGCTATTAGTTTCCCTCCAATGAATAAATATTTTTATCGTTCTACTACTGCGAAATTTTACGAATGTCGTCATTTTCTCCTAATTCTTGGAAATTAGTGTTTCTTTGTATTTTATTGAAACAATCTGTATAGATAAAAAACGATAAGTTAAACTATAACATTTATAATTATCTATAGGATGACACTAGTTTTACCTAAGTTCTTTTGTTATTATTTCTTTTCGGAAAGCCCATTGTGTAAACAGACACTTATAAAGACTAAGCCCAGTAAAACCATGCATGCAAAAAGGAAGCAGCTTATAATTTAAGGAGAAACGGAAAAGGGAGAATTTGGTTAAATCAAGACCGGCGACGGATGAACACTTACCAGACTTTCTCTCGAATCGATAGTTGTTATTCATCACCTAGCTCTCATCAAATGATAACCTTGTTCATTTTGAAATAAGAGAGAGTTGTTTATTTGGTGATACTCCTGAAACTATAACAATTTCTGAATAGCTGAGTAGGAGTTCAAAAAATACATGTTGTAATAATAATGATAATAATAGCAAATAGATATAGTAATAATAGCGAATACACGTAATAATAATAATAGCAATTACATGTAGTAATAATAGCGAATACACGTAATAATAATAGCATATGAATGAAAGAACAGTTCACTGAAGACAGAAGTCATAACAATTTATTAATTCATGTGTTTTTGCGTTTTCTGACACATTTACCGTTATTATGATTAAGTATGTTATTATGGATGTCAATGCAGGTATTTTATTGGTGGAAGTGGCATGGTTAATCGTTGGAGTTGTCTGGATCAGTCGTCATTACCACACCTGTCCAATGAATCTCGCTAAAGAAGCCATTTTAGGTACGAAGAAATTTTCGAGTTTATAAAATTTCGAGTTTAATCATTTATACTGAAATTTCTATAGTTGAAAATTTTTTTTACAAACAGAGTATATATATATAGGTTAATTTCATTATTAAATTTGTTCTATGTGTCTAAGACTTTAGGTAAGTGGAGAAAAATCAACGAAAAAATGTCCATAAATTACTTACATCTAAAATAATAGATTAAATAATTCAATATTCTTTTCAAGGAAACAAACAAAATCAGTTTATGAATTTTATTTGAGTTGTATTTTCTCCAGATATGCTGTGATCAATGTTTCTCTTCGTAGCTTAGATTAAAATATTTATATTCCTTTCTGGAGCTCACTCCAAAATTCACCGAATAACAAATCAGTTAATGTTTTAAATACGATATCTTTAAGTTGAGCTCTAACTTGAATATTCTTCTTAATTATTATGTAGAGTAAACTTATGTTATTACCGTCGATAGTGTGTGGTCTGTATGTGGTGTGTTCTGAGTCGGGTGTTTGACTAAGCTATTAATGTTTGGCATTGAGATATAATTGTCACGCAGATACTGAACTATGTAATCCAAGATTCGTATTCTACCTTCAAACAGTTGTTTTGTATATATATTTAAATGTAAAATGGATAATGTTCATCCATTTAATTTAGGTTTAGATTAATGATGTGGCATAATTACAGTCGTTATTGATATTTCCTCTTTAAATATGCGAGATGTATCTGATGGACATATAGATGTATATTTACTTGAGTGTAGATCGAGTAGATCAAAGTTATTTCATTAATTTTCCCATTCACTTGCACCCATCTATAGCCTAGGAATCAAAATCATCTGTTCAGATTTACACCCTTGATAAACACACTAGTGAAGGTGCTGTAAGATATCTAATAAAAAGGAGCTTCGTTGCTATAGGATCAGTTTAATCAGCTTAGGAGTTGAGTCATCGCTACCAGGTGCTTAAGCAGAAGATTACAGTGAAAAATGTAGTTCAAGTTTACTTGACATAATTATCGAAGTGTATAGTTGTGTAAGAAGATTGTCTTTCCAGCAGTTCATAATTTATTGTTCATTAGAATTTAAAGCAATTTTCGAAAATCTCTATTGTCTATTCTTAAAGGGTACGGAATTTTGTATCTATAAAATATAATTTCCAGTAATAAAACAGAAGAGCAAATTATCTTTAGGTTAACTTTCCCATATATATATATACTAAGTAATGTATATTTGGGGTCACTGCTAGGCAAATCTATGGAGTATCTAGTTACTGGGTTTTTTATTTCATTCGTGCACCATGATGTTCAAATAACAAAGAATAGGTGGTTGGTATTTGATGATAGTTCTGAACAAAGATAATTTATTTTCGACGTTAATTTTTTCGCTTTAAACATAAGTTATATCTAACAATTAAACTTTAATGGATCGAGTAATACAAGTAAATTGGATGCCAGAACTTAGATATAGCTGTTGTGTAGGAATCCAAAAGTGAGGATAAGTTTCATCTGTTGTCTTTTTAACAAACTCAGTGTCACTAGTTGACACACTAGACGTTGTACAATGGTTATTTTAATTATTCCGTTTGGAGCTATGTGTGTGTTTATTTTTGTGAAATGTTTGTATTTGAGTATGACTAATTTTGTTCATTTAGCTTCCTTTAAATTTCGTCCCAAGCGTCATAGCCGTATGTCTGCGGACTTACATTGCTATAAACCGGGTTTCGATACTCGTGTTGGCAGCGCACAAATAGCCCATTGTGTAGCATTGTGCTTAACTACAAACCTTATAATTTTGTATATATTAAATTTGAGATTCAGTTCTAATCTTTTTAATTTTAGTTTGACGTTTTTAGTGCTTTTAATTGTGTTCGGCTTCCTACTCTGCTCAAAAAATAATGAAAATAATAATATCAAATCAAAGCTTTTGAACCCAAAATAAAGCAATAACTACAAAATACAAATAAAGAAAAGGAGGCTCAACTAGTTTCAACGTACCAACTAAATCATGGTCAAGGGTAGATTTATTTCGTAAGTCGAAACTAATCGGGTATATTTTTTCTTTCAGTTTTATATTTTTTAATAGTGCGTAATACTTGTCATTTGTGATATTCTAATCATAGTCATAAGTATCATAAAGCATTCTCAGAACTGAATTAAAGGATAATCTTAATTTTCTATACTCTACCTGTAAGAAAGTACAAATTTTGATATTAAACAATGATAATGACATCCTAGCATTTTTTGTTGTTGTTGTTTTTACAAGTAATGGGTGACTGACTGGTCATGACTTTGTGACGCGTTATTTGTGCGTACAGGGAAGGATGTGCCATTCATTTAAAATTATGTACCAACAATAGTATTTAATAGGCAGGTACTAGTGGGCTGAAAGTTGTGTGTTCTGTAAGGGTTGTTCAACTCACTTTATAGTATTTAGTAATAACAAACCTCACTATGTAAGTTGTGTGTCCTTGTTGAATAATTAACCAAATTATTCCTGTTTAACCATATCACAAGATTATTGTAGATCATGTTCTGTAACTTGTACATGCTCTATGGAATGCACGATTAAGTTATTCCAGTTTAACCATGTCATAAGATTATTGTAGATCATGCTCTACGGAATGCACGATTAAATTATTACTTTCTAGATAAAAATTACAATTTCTGAACAGTTTCTGTGGCCTCTATACGGACACTTCTTTTTATCCGACATCCGACTGAATTTAGACTGTTAAAAAATAACCAGATATTATTATCATCCTGAAAGTATTGTCGTTGTAACTGATTCGTCGATAGTAGAATGTTCAATTATTAAAGTAATACAGTAACATTATCGCGAAGGTAATCTGATCTGTAACTGATATTCAATTATGATATTGTTTAGTAATACAGTACAATATCATTTCTGTGTAGGTATCGTGATCTGTAACTGGTGTGTTCTGCTGAGTGTCGTTATCACAATCTGGTGTACGTTTGATGCAGCTGGTAGATCTTGGGTAAAAATGAAGAGGTACCAAAGAAGTCTTCGAGAGGACAGATCCAAGTATAGATACAAGCGATCAGGTAGCTCTCATCGCAACTGGAGACACAGGTGATTATTTTATTTTGTTCTGTATTACTTTATGTTTTTGTACAAATGGACATCGACAACATGGACAAACAAATGTGATGTGTGTGTTTAGTGTACAAGCAATTGTGATGTGTGTGTGTTTAGATAGATGCAAATTAGTGTTGACATTTTAAAAGGAAAAAGATGTTCGTTAATCCCAGTGTCTTACGTTTGTCGCACTCACATCAGGAACATTGTCAATGAGAGAGCCTGAGATGTTAACACGATCTCATTTTAAAAAGCTAGTTTAAGTAATGTTTTAACAACTACTTTTTTTGGCACACAGATTAAAAATTATCATAGAGACAGGTCCATATTGAATTATAATGTTAGAATTTTAACAACAGAAAAAAATTGAAATACATAAATAAACATACAATACGGGCGCTTAGGAGGAAAAATGTTTTCCTTATATAGTCTTCTATCAGTTCTATTGCTAAATTAATAAAAACGTGATCATTAATGGTTTGAGTTATAGTTGTTTTGGAGGAAGAGTATTAAAATCAAGTTGCTAAATTAAATAGGTAAGCTAATTAAATCATTATAAACAAAATTAAAGTCACGCTACTGAATAAATCTACATCTGATTCCAGAACTAATCTTTAGCCAAACAGTTTAGTTTGTGTGTGAAATTGGTTTGTGTGTTGATTATGAATAGCATAGACAAGATGAAAAGTACAATTGAAAAATCAATTAACGCCTATTTATGTTCATATATAAACGAGATATTTAATACATATAGATAAATAAATGCAAGGGAGTAATTAACTCCTAAAACGAACTCCTAGTTAAAATAATGTGCTTGAATAATTAAAAAGAGAGACTGCTTTTGAAAGATAATTTATTTTTAACAAAAATTCATGGAATTGTTGAAAGACGAAAAGTCACTTGGGAGTTTTACTAAGTACCCAAGAGACTCCACTCTTCACATATACGGTATCATTATAATTGAAAATAAATACAATATATATTCTAATTACACCTGGCACTAAGACGTGGTGGTTATTATAAGCTTTGAAACAGTAATAGTCATACTGTGAAATGATAACTGTGCACTATTCCTATCCACAATATTTTTATGTTTCGGTTAATTCTGTTTGTACCTAATGGTTTATGCACTGGTACGTCAATTCGATGTAAGATGTTTAGATTATTTCTGTTTGTACCTAATGTTTGTGCACTTATACGTCAATTCGATGTAATATGTTTAGATTATTTCTGTTTGTACCTAATGTTTGTGCACTTATATGTCAATTCGATGTAAGATGTTTAGATTATTTCTGTTTATTATCAGTGGTTTGTGCAGTGGTACGTAAATGCGATGTATGAAATTGATGTCAATGTTAAGTATTTCCACAGTGAATTTTAGATCTAAATGTTAAAGTTTCCCTTCTTAATTTAGAATTATTCTCTTGTGAAACTTTGGTTCATATTTACTGAGTTAAATAATTCAACCTGTAACACTTGAGTATTCATTACTTAAAAATTGGGAGCTCGATCCCTGTGGTGGGAAAAGGACAGATAGACTATTATGCAGCTTTGCGCTTGTAACCTGTGACATTCCTTGATTATATATGTATCCAGTTTTAAGTCATTGTCACTTCTAGTAATTTCAAAGTCTAAAAATGTTCCTTTATAGCTGTAAATAGACTCAAGCAAGCTACTCTTACCCAAAGTATTTCTTTTAAGTTATTGACTTGAAAATTTACGTTGAGTCTTTGTAGCAAATATGACAAATAGTCCTCACGCAAATCAAATCAATACGCAGTCAAAAAAAGTAGGCTTTCTGCACCTCGGCTTGGCCTCTCCAGGTGGTCAGAGCTCTTGATTCGCAACCTGTGGGTCGTGGAATCTAATCCCACCATCGAGTATGCTCGCCTTTTCAGCCGTGGAAGAGTTATAACTTGGCAGTCAATCCCACTATTCAATCAGAGTAACCCAACAGTTGGCAGTGGATGGTATTGACTAGCTGCCTTCCCTTTAGTCAATCACTTCTAAGTTACCGACGGCTAGCACAGATAACCCACATGTAGTTTTATGCGGAATTCAACAAACAAACAGAATTCTACACCTCTATATTTCATTTCAACGTGTGATCTTCAAACATTATGGTCAAAGCCAATTTTGTGTTAAATCTTTCTCACCTTGTACTTGTATACAAACATATTAAAATTTTACATACAAACCCATACTTACTACTTTGTGTATAAGTAAGTTTTATGGACTGTTTTTTCGTCTCTTAGAAATTCGTACTTGTACTACACAATGTATGTTTATGTCAAAGCAAAATCAAACTAAAGAGAAATAAGCTTTTAAACGTTTTCACATGTAAAATCAGTTACTCGTTTAAAAGGTCTTTTCATCCTGAAGTTTAGAAAACAGAAAAGCAAATGTGTTGTACACAATTGTGAAAATAAGATTTTTTAAACTGTGAAATACCTCTCTCTCTACATTTCTAAAGAAGCTTCAGATATGTAGTTTCTCCCCTATATATATATATATATGTATAACAAAAACACCAAAATAATATTCTCCTGTGGATACGAGTAACATAATACTGGAATATTAGTAAAATTAGAATAGTCTGATATTCCAGTGTTTTGTTATTTATAATTTTTCAAAAAGCTTCGTACGGGCTGTTCCCAACTGTCAGAGTCAGATTTTGTTAAACTATGAAATACTTCTTTCTCTATATATTTTCTTTTTGAAGACCTAACTGCCTTAAGTTATAAAGGTTTGTGTAGAGTTTAATTTTATTTTTTAACATTTTTAATCCTTGATGATGATGCCTTTCTAAAAAAAAAAATATATTCAAGTTTTGTTTTCAGTTATAAAAACGATACAAATATAATCCATAGACGATTATAAAAATGTCACTTTTAGAATTTGGGCTTCGTAAAGCATATTTGGGACCATCTGGTGCATATTATACATTCCATTAAAATTATCTTTACTAGATGTAATTTTCCTTCTAAAATAGTATCTTAATGATAATATTTACAGATGTGTGACTTCAGCGTCTCCTGAAGATATTTTATAACTGAAAATAATTGGAAATTCTAAGATTTCTCTTACATATTATACGATGAGATATGCCAAAAAACAACTCTCTGGTTATTTTACAATCATAATGACTCATGGCGTTGTAAGTCTTTGAATCTTTTAAAGTTAAAGTCAGGTATGTAATTAGATGGTTGGGCTTTGGGTTATAACTCATATAATAAAATTTGAACACCGGACGAGAAATCACGCCTTTTGATTTTAAAACAGTTTCACGAAAGCACGTTACTTTCTTCCAGTATGTACAGATGTTACTGAATTTCACATCCAATTTTCTACCTTGATAAATACGAGGCTGGCACAAAATAAATGTGAACAGAAACCTGTATCTGCAGCCTACGTGAAACGCGTTTATAAAGATACACAAAACTGCTATTACAAAAAAAAATCTCCTTTATATTTAGAACAGATACATAACAATCATTTTATTAGTAGCTAGAACAAATAGATGGAAATAATTCCTCCTACTTAGAATGGATGCTTAAAGAAAATTTCATAAATATATATACCTAGAAGAGATAAACTGGGATTTTGATCTAAAATGTTGTGAAAATCCTATTCTTCCTCCATAGAACATATGGAGCCATTCACATGACTGCTAGTTAGGGCGCTCAACTCGCGGGTTCGAATCCTGTCACCGAACATGCTCGCTCTTTTACCTTTGGTGACGTTATAATGTTAAGATCAATCCCAGTTTTCATTGATAAAGAGTAACCCTAGAGCTGGTGGTGGGCGGTGTTGACTAGCTACCTTTCATCTAGTCTATCACTTCTAAATTATGGACGGCTAGTGCAGATAGTCCTCGAGTAGCTTTTCGCGAAATTCAACAAACAAACAAACTAGTTTTTGGTATATGTAGCAGTTCAGTATCTTCACCTTAACTAATTTCAATCAATCTTCATTTTAGTCTATTGTATATTTATTTTTAATTCACTTTTTTATCGATTAAAAATAATGTCAAAAACATTATAGTCTTACGCTTTATACCAAAAAGCTGAATACATTATATTTTCCCCCCAGTGGCACAACGGTATGTCTGCTGCCTTATACTGCAAGAAACCGGGTTTCGATACCCGTGGTGGGCAGAGCATAGCCCTTTAATAATACGATTAAACTAAAACCATTTTTTAACTTGTTTTAAATTGAATTATAATACGATTAAATTAAAACCATTTTTTAACTTGTTTTAAATTGAATTATAATACGATTAAATTAAAACCATTTTTAACTTGTTTTAAATTGAATTATAATACGATTAAATTAAAACCATTTTTAACTTGTTTTAAATTGAATTATAATAC